ATTTTCCAAAACCGTTTAAATCAAAGTTTTTGGGCAGAATTTAGAATTTAATTCTTTTAATTTATGGGTTCAGATTTAAATTGGCCACAATCTACAGCAAGATGAACTGAAATTTGATTTACAGGAAGTGGATTTACTTTAGGAAGTTTAATTTTAAAAAAAATTACTTAAAGAAAAAAATGTTAACTAAAACTAAAACCATTTTCCAAAACCGTTTAAATCAAAGTTGAAATAAAATAAATATTGGAGGAAAAATAATAATAAAAATTAAAAAAACATGAAAATTAGAAATGGTGTATGTGAAATACATAAGTTTAAGTACTAAAATTAAGATAAATAAATATATTTAAAAAATAATTAACAAAATTACAAAAGCACATAACAAAATTACTAAAAACCTAAACTAAAAATAAAATGAAAACTGAAAATATAAAAATAAAAGATCATTCAAAATATTAAAGGGGTCATATGATGCTGCTAAAAAGAACATTATTTTGTGTATTTGGTGTAATGAAATGTGTTTATGCGGTTTAAAGTTCAAAAAACACAGAAAGGAAAAATTGAAATCGCATCATATGACCCCTTTAATGAATACTATAATCAGGGTTATTATAGTAAAAAAAAACATACTTTATTTGAGCTAGTTGCCAAAGCAACATTTCTCTTTTTTGTTTAGTTTATCGTCAAATATCTAAACTGACTAAAACTAAATGAACTAAAAGTTATAAATGAAAAAAAAAGAATCAAAACAAACATATTTTATAAAAATACAAAACATGACAGTTCTAAAACAAACAAAAATTGAAGTGAAAACAGAAAAATAAAGGCAAACTCATAATGTTAACAAAAACCATAATGCTATATCAATGATACTAAAATAACATTGACTATAATAGTATATAAATCATACAAAAATATCAATAACATTAAAAAACTAACTACAAACTGATCTGTTGGCTTCAAGACTAGGAGCTGTAAAAATATATTGAGATGGTTTTTGGTACTTATACCGCAAATATATATTCTTAAGGACATCAAAACCTAAAATAAAACTCCAGAAAGGTGTAAACTATGGGACCTTTATTAAACGTTTAGGCAAGACTTTAAGCCATCATTCAAAGTTCATCTTGATAAACTCTAGTTAAAACTGACCCTTGTTTCAGCTCTGCTTTATATCAAATGTGTTCAGGCACACACAAAATCTAGTTCATTTAGAATCAGAAGGTGACTGTTTATTTAGTTTGACTTTCTCATTCTTAAAGCCACATGCACCTCGACCCCAGTTTGACCTCATTAAAGGTCAAGGGTTTTAGAGGCTGTTTTGGAGGTCAAATTCAAACTTTTCTCTATTGAGTCACATGACTCTTCCTGCATTGACTTCCACGTGTTCTCTAGTGAAAGCCATACAGGAGGGACCAGAGTTTATGGTTTTATGACTCTTATAACACACTGACACAGTCAAACACAGTCCCATCCTGGTACGGCGCTCGGGTCGGTGTGAAGTCTGTTGTGGATTCTTTCGTTTATTGGATACTGTGTGGATTTGAGCCGTGTTAGTTGATCATGTCGACGGGGGTTCAGCTGCTGGGGTTCTTGATGTGTTTGGGAGGCTGGCTGCTCTCCTTCGTGTCGTTGGTGAATGATTCGTGGCGCACGTCGACGTTTGCGGATCAGCTGATCACGTCTGTGTGGTACTATCAGAACCTGTGGCAGTCGTGTGCCGAGGGAAGCACCGGCGTCAGAAATTGCAAGCAGTTTGAGTCCATGCTGTCTCTGTCTGGTAACTCACACTAACTAGAGTTTGTGCTGTTCATTTTGAATAGGAGAAATGGATTGAGGGGATAAGTGCTCATGTGATTTGTCAGTTTCAACATCGTTGGCATTTTTTAACAAACTTACAATGAAAAAAATTATATTTAAAATTATTATTTACAAATATGTGACCCTGCCTGTGAAAACCCAGCTAAAGGGTTTTCAAAGATGTAGAACATTCTGTGAAAATATAACCTTTATATCTTTAATACTGACTGAGTAAAGCCATGTCAAAGATTGGAATCATAGTGAAATTAATGGTTGGTTGAAATCAAACTTTGATGCTTGTTATCTCATAATTAGATTTTGAGACTTTAGCCTGGATTTCACAGAGAGGGTCACATATCATCATGGCACAAATATTTAATTTAGTAAAATTTATCTTAAATTAAAAAAAAAAAAATTAAGAATAGGCTTCATTTCATGCACTATATAATTTTTTATTTCTTTTGCTTTTGATATTTACTGACTGTATCATTACCATATCCATATACCATGTTACTTGAATTCATCTTTCATTAGTTTTGGGTCAGATTTTTTATATTTTTGTGTCACCAAAATACAGTAAAAATAGTGAAATATTATTATAATTTAATATAGCTGTTATCTATTTGTATAAATTGTAAAATGTAATTTATTTCTGTGATCAAAGCTGAATTTTCAGCATCATTACTCCAGTCTTCAGTGTCACATGATCTTCAGAAATGATTTTAAGATGCTGATTTGCTGCTCAAGAAACATTTCTGATTATTATCAATGTTGAAAACAGTTCATATTTTAGTGGAAACTGTGATACATTTTATTTTTGAGGATTCTTTGATGAATAGAAAGTTCAAAAGAACAGCATTTATTTGAAATAGAAATCATTTGTCATATTATAAATGTCTTTACTGTCACTTCTCATCAATTTAATGCGTCCTTAATGAATAAAAGTATTAATTTCTGACCCCAAACTTTTGAATGAAAGTGTGCTTCAAAATTGAAGAAAAGTGTAAGCAATTATATTTTGCATTTTTGACATTATTTTCAACACAATGAAAAAAAAAAACTTTTTAAATCAGAATAAATGAAATGCAGTTCAATAATGACAATTAAATACTTAGTTTAATATAATTAATTTAAATGAAAAAAAAAAGCAATGTCAGAATTAAAATAATCACAGTGGTCTCAAGAACAGGCTTTACTTTCATGGAAAATATAATTAATTAATTTTAAATTATATATTTTTTATTTTGCTTTTGGGGTGAAATATGACCTGGACTTAATAGTATATCAGTTTTGCACTCTCAGAAAAAGGTACAAAAAGCTAAAAGGTATGTTTTTGTATTGCACTAAACTGGGCAGCACATCTGAGGAGTCGAAGGGCAAGATCAGCCTCACAGCCGGAGTCATGTTCATCCTGTCGGGTCAGTATAATAACGCACACTCTGACTGAATGATCAAACATATTCACATGTTCTGCCTGTTCTTATATATTTTTTATTTTGCTTTTGGGGTGAAATATGACCTGGACTTAATAGTATATCAGTTTTGCACTCTCAGAAAAAGGTACAAAAAGCTAAAAGGTATGTTTTTGTATCTTATTTCCCTCTAAATGGTACATATTTGTACCTTAATGGGTACATTTGTATTTTAAAAGTACATATTAGTACCTCAAGTGTGCTTATTAGTACCTTTTAAAAGCAGTTTTTATCTTTTTTATGAGAGAATACCATGCTATTGCCTTAATGTTCAAATATCATATGCATGTACAACAAACTTTATTACTACCATAATTGATACTCCCATGGTGCATGCACTCTTAGTCATTTGTATGTGTGCACGTAAATTAATTAAGCATATGGAATGTGTTTCTGATGTGATTGCTGTGTGTGTGTGTGTGACCTATTGAAGTACTGAAATCTGTTTTGTACCTTTGTAATACACTGATAACCACCAAATGCAGAAAGTCACATGATGAACCGAAGCCACAAACACTAAACACCATCATGGTAACACACATGAAACTGAAATAATGCAATAAACATTCATTTAACAACATTAGGTGTAACACACAACCCTAATATACAAAACTGATAAGAAAAAACTAAAAAGAAACAGTTATTTCAACAAAAAAAACATCAAATTTGAAATGTAACGCAGGGAATTCTGGGAATGTCAATTTACGGTTATTCACTGTAAATTATACAGTCTTTTTCACTTCCAAAAACGGTATACTACCGTAAAATTAATGTCCAATACAGTTTTTCACCGTATATAGTAGGGAATTTACCGTTAACCATTTAACAGGTTTTTACTGTAGCATTTTTACAGTCTTTTACCGTTAAATTCACGGTAATTTTTTACAGTGTAGATTTAACCCTGTAAAGTCTGACATATGAAACAACAGTCTAAAAACGGTTTTGAAGCTGAAGAGTTTATTGAACCTTCAGACAAAATATTTAAAAAGAGTGTGCATATGTGTTTCTGATGAGTATCATATTTGATCCATCAGGGTTTTATGGCTCATATAGTCTGATATAGTGAGAAAACAGCTCAGTTTTATTCAGTGTTGGTGCAGATGCTGATTTATATGATGCTTGTAATGTAAATCAATGAGATCTTTATAACAGTATAGCAGATACTTACATAAAATGATCTAAATATCAGTCGTCGCTCTATATCTCCAATAACATGTCTTAGTAAGATGAGATTGAAATGATCCAAACATATAATGTGATGCAATCCGATGCTGATTGAGAGCTGAAGAAATAACCGCTCCTCAGAAGATGTGAGATGTTCTGGAGGCTTGTGAAGATCATTCCTCCGCTGAGGAACAGTGAAAGTAAAGCTTCTGGAAACAAACGCTCCTCAAAAGATCCTGAAGATCAGATTTGAGAATCTAAAAAATGATTGATGGAGAATCAAGTAAAGCTGAGCTGCTTCAGTCCAGTAAGTGTTCATCTGGAGATATGACTGCAGTTATTCTGACCTTTACTTGATAAAAATCAGCCAAGATTTGACAGCAGAAAGACACATGAAGTACAACTACACTAAAAGAGCTTTTACATGATAAAAAACTCTAAACTATCAATCACACGACAGGAGGCATGGAGTTGATTGTGTCAAACAGCAAAGTTTGATCATTTACAGGCCTTGGATGAATATGATTTAGAAGGTTTTATAGGGTTAAAACACACTTTTGGGCTTGGGTTATCTTGTAAATGCCAATAAACACGCTCACATGCGGATGTTTCAGGTATGAACTGGGCGCCGGTCTGTATCTGGGATGGGCGGCTGCAGCTCTGGCTATATTGGGCGGAGGAATCCTCTGCACTTCCTTCAAGAGTTCAAGACCTGCCAAAACACGGTGAGTCTCTTACCAGAGACGGATCACAGCTCTGAAACTAATCTGTGATGAACACAACAACAACGAGTCATGACTTTCTTTATTCTCTCTCTTTCTCAGGGGTCACGACTATAACTACAGCTCTTCACAGCCGCAGAAGAAGATCTACAGATCAGCGCCGGCGTCAGAAAACAGCACCTCTAAAGCTTATGTCTGAGCCTCTCATTTTAGCTTTCATTTTTTTGTACATGGAAATGTGTATTTTTTTAGTACTTGCATTTTAGAAGTCGAACGAATTGAGCTTACTTCATTGACTGAATGTGCACCAATATTTAGCGTTGATTTCGTAATGAGTTCATTATTTCATAATCTTGCATTAAAAATGTATATAACTTTCTCAGCTTATATGAAAAGACTTCAGTTTTAAAGTTTCAACTAGCAGATGCTGGCAGTGTTTCAGAATTAGATCATCTATAATTCACTGCATGTAAAATATCAGCTTTGACTCGATTCTGATACGAAACACTCACTTTACGGTGGAGTTATTATAGTGAACTAAAACTGAAGCCAAGATCTTTGAAAAAACTGAAATAAAATATTTTGCCTGTAACTTATTTTTTTTCAGCTAGTTGCCAAGGCAATATTTCTCATTTTCATTTAGTTTAACTTGATGTACTTAAATAACTAAAACTAAAACGGAAATAAAAATGTATAAAAACTATAGAAACTAATACAAATGACAAAAAGACACAACAAAATTACTAAAACTTTAACTCAAATTTTAAAAATAAAAACTAATTCAAAATATGAATAAAAACTGTAACAGTATCTTAATAATATTGCTTTACACCATCACATCAATTCTGTATGTCATGTACATTTTCATGCTATGGATCAATTTAGTATGTTATATAAATGTTACACGGTCTGTTCTGGTGTTTTGAAAGGCTCATTGTTTTCTGAAATTGCTAGTATGTGTGTTTTGTCATTGTTTCTGTGAATAAAACAATTCTGTGACGTTTTTGCAATCATGCAAACAGTTGTTTTTTTCATGTTTTACTGTAGTTATCAGCCAAATCCCAGAGATTTCTTTCATTTTCAGTTTTATTGAAAACAGTGTGTGAAGCGTGTGCTTGATTCCTTTGACAACAACCTGTTAAAATAATTGACTTTGTCCCTTCGGCTGGATTGGACTGGATATGACAATAAAGTTTCATAAAACAATACATTTCTAAACCTTATCTTGATATTTCTTGAAAATGCAAACATATCAGGCAATAAAAAACAGATGATAAATCTATTATTTTAACCAAAATACAAAATGGGAACAGCATTTGTGACTGTTTGAAATATTAACCTTATGACTTATAGAAAGAAATGTATATAAAACGCTTCCAAACTGCACAAAAGAATAGCCTAATTATAATTTGCTCACCATATTATCCTGAAAATACTACTTATATAAATTTTTTTTGTTTGCTTTTAAGAGTTTTTTTTTAAACAAACGTATTCAAATAACTGATATAATGTTCTTGTTTATGGATTGTGATACAGGATTATTAGAGATTGAAAATAGGCCTACAGTTCTCCAGCGTTTTTTTATTTTTAAATTTTTTTTTTTATAGAACTCTTATGTTTTGTAACTCTATTTTCCAGTTGAAATCTCAATACATAAATCTTTAAAGCTAAAAAATATAATTGATTTTTTTTAATTAACCAAATTTTATATTTTATCATGGTTACCCTCTCTATATTATGTATTTGTTCTCTTCTTTTTTCATTTTTTAAATTCATGAGTCATGCAGGCTTTTTTTTGAAGGGAAAACGTGAGAAGCACGCGGTCGTGACGTAGAACTCCCGCGACGGCGCAGCAGGAAACAGACGTCTGTTGAGCCAAAATGGCGTCCGTGATGCTTCAGTCTGGAGTGGGTTAGCATGAAACCTGTTCGATTAAACCTATTATGACACGGTTCGGCTCTTATTATTCGGATTAATCTTTTTTTTTTTCATTAAGAAGAGTCCGTCTAAACTAGCGGAGACGCGTCTAGATGCTGTGAGGTAAAGTAAACCAGCTGTTTATCGAAAGTGAAAGTCAAGTGCAGCGATTAGCCGGTGCAGATCTGAGAAGTCGCATTAAAATAAGTAAAAACCGCAACAACAACCGATTATTTATTAATAACGGCACTGTTTATAATCAGATTACACATTGTGCTGTTTATTTAATGCGTTCTTGTTAGTAACTGTCACAAACGATCAGTTTGGTTTGCTCACATCACATCTGTCTGAGATCTGTCAGGTTTTTTCGCCGAATTATTGTTTATATTTTCCATTTAACCTGTTTGAAACATGTTTTACGTGTCATCAGTCTTAAATGTCTTTGATTGAGCATCATGGCAGGTTTATTTCCACCCTGCAGCTGGAATGACAAGGCAGATCTCATAATTGATTCATGTAAACCCTGTATTATTGATTATTATTGATTGACACTAATATCTGATCAATCACGTGTGATAAATTCATTCTGCTCTGAAGGCAGATCATTAATACAAATGTGCATTAAAATATACAAATATGTCATTTGAATATGCATTAGTGATCTGTCCGGTATTAATAAAAGTAGCCTAGTTTTTCCATATAGTTTACAGATTTAGTTATTTGCTTTATTTAGTTCTTTTTTTAATTAGTTGGTTATGCTGCGTTAAAGTCCTCATGGGAAGTTCGTACTTACGAGTTGACAAGTCGTAATAACGACGTCAGGTGCGTTTTTTTAACTCTAGTACATCTGCAAAATGAGGAATAAAGAATGTGCATTATTGTATTTTCGTTTTTTCTGTTTTTATTCAATTTATGAAGGCGAAAACTGAATCATTATATATTCTATCTATATATTTATATATAATTATACAATAATATAATATTTTGTGTATGTAACTTATATAGATTTAATTTTACATTGCAAAAAAATAATAATTTCATTTCAACAAATTTACCGTCAATACAGACGCTGCTATAGTCTTTGGCTGCGTCCATTGCATCCCACATGTTTTTTCACTGACACGCCCCCAACTCAGAAACTCGGGGCTTAAAGAAAATTTCGAGTTTCCCACTCGTAACAACGACTTTGTGGTGGTGTTCATGTGCGTGCAGCTCGTAAATACGATCTATCCGACATGACTTGAATGCACCATTATTGTTGTGTGAGATGGGATTAATTTTTAGTAGTAGTAGTAGTAATAGTAAATTGTTTTATTTTGTTGTTATATTATTTTAGTTTATTGAGATTGTTTTCTGCTTCATTATGGTAAATCTGAGGTCATTCTGTTAAAGATGAACAAAATCTGAAAAAATATTGGATTTAATTTATTTGGATCAAAAATCAAATTTTTTACTGTTAAATATTTAAACAATTTAATATTCCAAAACATTAATGCAAATAAATATTTGTGGACATTCTGTGAATGTATGACATAAATGTTTGTTTTATAGTCTTCCACCAATATGTGTTTTCTGATGACCTAAACGAAAAATAACAAATATATATATAATATAATATCATCTTTTACATTATTTTCCTGTCTGATATTATTTCAATACACAATTCCTCTATTTCTCTTTGTCTCCAGATAACCGGTTGTTAGAGAAGTCTGATCTTCATTGCTTAGTTTCACAGAACTAATCGTTGCTTGGGTTGCGTACGTATGTGTGGGGCGGAGCTATCAAAATAGGGGCGAGACCCTTTTGAGGTAGGGGCGTGTTTGTTTTGGTGATTTCAAATGTCAACATTGGCTACCAGAAATTGCTTACCCCACCTTTAAAGAGAGGAGATAACGTGTCGAGAGAAGAGCATTACGTGAAGAGGAAACCAATTATGAATTATGGCATCATGAATACAAGAAAGTAAGATGATCTGTGTGTGTGTTTAGTCCGGGCGTCGAGGGCGGTCGCAGTGAGTCCCTGCAGCAGGAAATGGCTCAGATGAGAATTAAACATCAAGAGGAGCTGACGGAGCTGCACAAGAAACGAGGAGAGGTGAACATAAACCCTCACTGTTACCACAGCGCTTACACACACTTCACAGTGCCGACATTTACATATCAGCCTTTTCAGGATTCAGAAGCTCGACCCTTCCAAGTCATTCCACAAGTTTTATATTCATGAGAGAGTTCAGATAAACTTCAAAAGCAATAATAGCATTAGAATCAGTTCTAACTGGTCATTTCATAAAATCAAGATTTAATTATTCATCACTCAGAAATTTCCTTTTTTTGTATATTTAATTGTTTTTGTAAAAGCAGATTTAGGTAAGCATTGCTGTTTATTATATGTATATAAATGAAAATAATTCAGATTATTCTTGTATTTTTATTTTAAAAACAAATCTGTGTTATTATGATTTACAAAAACCAGAAGCATAAAAAACACTTGAAATAAAATAAACTTTAACTAAATAAAATTTAGATTTTTTGTTTTCGTATAGTTTACCTTGAAGTACTAAAATAACTAAAATGAATAAATAAAAAATAAATATATAGGCATATTTTTTAAAAACACTAATAAAATGACAAATACATGACAAAATTGCTAAGACTATAACCAGAAATGTGAAAACAGAAAATACAATTTTTTCAAAATATTTACAATTAATCCAAAATGCCGATGCAAGATTAATTTTTAATGAGCCGAAAAGAACGCATGTCACACCTCTGTTCATCAATTTGCACTGGCTACCAGTAGCTGCTCTGTAGTAAATGCTGCTCCATGTGAAAGCCCGCACGTGATGGAGATTTACCGCTGATTACAGAAGCGGCTTTACTGACAAGATGCGCATTAAATATCGCATGCGATTTATCGTGCAGCCCTAATATATATATATATATACACCTTGCTACGTGTACTGCGTTAGGCTAACCGAGACTTGTCATTTGCACTTATATATTGTTGCTCTTTTGTTAGTTTTGACTGCTTTTATTGTCATTTGTAAGTCGCTTTGGATGAAAGTGTCTGCTAAATGACTAAATGTAAAATGTAAATGTTATAAAAACTATAACTGTACAAGCAATTGACAACTGTTATTTTAGTATTATTTATATGCTATTATAATATACATTAATGTTTTGAATTAGGTTTTTATTTTATATTTTGACCCTCTAACTCTAGCACTTTCTATTCTATTTTAAATCTACTCTATCTATATTTAGCTTCTTTTATTGTTTTTTTATTTTTATTTAAAAAAACAAACAAACAAACAAACACTAGCTTTTTTTTTTTTATCTACTTGTTTTTCTTTGTGTGTATA